TTTTTTTTTTTTTTGGTTGCAGCCATCATTGTTGTTCAGCGGGCCTGGGCTGGATTCGAACCCACCACCTTAGGTGTATGTGGCCGGCGCCTTAGCCACTTGAGCCATAGGCGCCGAGCCCACTTATTTTCTTTATGAATTGAGGGCAAGGAAATGGAGAACACAGTATGTTCTTTCTCCTCCATCTCTGCCCCACTGGGTGTTAATAAAAACATGCAAACACAGAACCCTCCCTCCCACTTGCCTTTTTAAATCCCCTTCCAATTTGACATCAAAGACCGCAGCAGACCAGAATCCAGTGGGTCATCAAATGACCAAGCCAGACAGGGAGAAAATCAGGTAGGCTTGCTTTGGAAAACCTTTCCCCCTATTTCAGCTGATTAATTGTAACCAAGCAAAGAGAGACTGTACCTAACAAATGCAAACAGTGTGATCTAATTCTTTGTACCCTCAATGCATCCCAATTAAAAAAATAAATTAAAAAAACCCAACCATACCTTAAGACTAGCCAAGATCTGTTGACTTCAACCTGAATATCTGCATCTCATTTGTTTTCAGTATGTTTGTGTTTTGTTTTCTGCCCCTTAAAAAAAGAATCTATTCCAACCTCAAGGGAGATTTCTTTACTAAAGAAAAACATGTGTTTTCTTATTAAAACCCACAGGCGAGGAAACGAGACCTCTTTTGTTCCTTCTAGAAGGTCTGGAGGACGTCGAGTTATTGAAAACGCGGATGGGCCTGAGGAGGAAATGGACACGCGAGATGCAGACTTCAATGGAACCAAAGCCAGTGAATAAACAACTTGCTAGAGTTTTGCACAACAGCAGGAAAAAAACAAAACAACAAAACCCAGCAGACTCTACTTAGCATTGTCAAAATCCATTTTCAAATTCCAGAGCTCACAGACACCCTTCACACAATGAATACAAAAGCCACCACCCTGTATTCAGGGCCTAAATTTAAGTTTTTATGATGTACCAGATGAGGAGAAAAACCAAAAAGGAATCACAAACGCACCTGCCCGCTCTACCAATGGATTGTGTGGAGTTGTGCAGAGATGTTCTTAGAAGGAAATATATCCACGGTAACCAGTCACTGGCAACTTTGTTTACATGAAATGGGGAGAAAGTCACCAAAATGGGTGCCACTGCCCCACACTCCCAACCCATCCCCTAACCTATATACCCTTCTGACTTCTGGAGTAAGGCCCTGGTTTGAGAATTCTTCCCCCCCCCCCCTCCTGGTTTCCACACCTCAGACACACACAGTTCACCCAGACCAAGTGCCTTCTGCAGTCACATGAATGAAAAAAGACACTGTTCCAACGGAGAAGAGCAGGAACGTGACACTGTTCTATGTGCACCCCGATTGTACTTAGACACCTGCACTAATAAAAGGTTATAAATCACTAAAATGCAGTTGGATTTTCTGTTCTGCTGTTTTCTATAGAGCAAAGGAAGACGAGAGTTGGGTTCTTGTTTAATCCTCTGAAGTCAGGGTTTGGGGTTTTTTGTTGACAGACTGCGTCCCTCTGGGTTAGAGTGCAGTGGCTTCCTTATAGCTCACTGCAACCTCAAACACCTTGGCTCAGG